TTAAAATCTGGTCCATGCTATATAGACCTACACTCTGCACAGAGAGTATACGTTATATGGTGCGGATCTAAGAAATTAAAGAAATGAACATTTATGTTTCATATTTTTTCCTTTGTTAAGATCAGTGAAATATTAATTTTAAGATTTGATTGATTAATTTTTCCAAATAGATGTCTTTTATATTAGTTTATTTTTTTTTCTTATGAGCTACAAACCGATCATTAAAGAATGTTAATTTGTCAAAGAAAGTTTTATTTTTTTAAAGGTCAAGAATCCAATTGAATTTAAAGACCTTTGAGAAAAATTAAATAAAAAAAGTTGGATGTATGAGGTCTTGCATACAAATGAATTTCTAACATCATTTCTAAAATATAAGTCTCATATATAAAAATTTCAGTAGAAACACTTCATTTTTATTGTAAGAGACATAAATCCATTAACTTTATATCCTTAATATCGGGATTTTTATTCAATTTTTATATCACACATGGACGAAAATATTGGTGAGAAGGGAAATAAACACAAATATTAAGGTACTACAAGAGAAAAATTCTGCAAATTTCTCGTTGAAATATACAAACAAAATATATAAAAGAAAGTTTGATACCGCACTTACCATGAATTGCCTGAACAAGAATACTAATGACCAAAACTGCAATCCATCGTCCTATAAGATATAAAATATTCTCATTTGTCTTTGAAAAAGAATTCTTGTGAACAACGAAAAACAATAAATATAATTTTATTTGTAATTTAAAAAGAAATATTAAATTGACAAAATATGCTTACCCGTAGCCATAGTTTTGAACGGGGTTGGAATATCTCAAAAGTCCCTCCGCTCTCTCCGATCTAACTTTTTCGACTGAGGTGAAATGTATTCCTAACAACTTTATTTAATATTACATGGATTAAATAACTTTGTTTTTCCAGCATATATGTTAAATACCAGAATAGATTATTCTGTAAATTCTGGCTTTCCACTACCCTTTTTGTATGATTAAAGACTTAGATACCTTTTATGCGTGTCCTCTCCTTTTCAATTTTTTAATGTCGAATTTTGTTTTGGCAAGAGATTATTTTCTTTTTAAATAACACATCTTTTGGAAAACTATATTCATTGTATGGGCCTTAAGAAGCAAAAATATTAGCATACAGATGTTTAATATTGTCTTTCGAAAACTAAGCTTACATTTTTGAACAATTACTAACCAAGTTCACTGGCACAGTGGATTTTCACTTTCAATCAACGACATTTTAAGTATTACAGAAAAGACAAAATTTTCTTTTGATGACGCAAGCTTTATAAATTGTCTATATTCCAGTACATTCGGTTCATCATTTCTAGAACGATTTCATTAGAATTAGGTTAAAACTCCCTTTTATAAGAGAAATACCGGTATTCACTTTTAAAATTTTATTATGCCTTTTTCAAGAAAAAATTCAAATAGATTAATTGAAAAAGCGAAATTAACAGTTCGTAGAAAATGATAAAAATTGACGTGTATGGTACAAAGACAATGAAATGAGTAGACATATAGACAATTGTTAAGTTACTTTTTAATTATTATTTTTTTCATTCTTTCTTTTTTTTTTTTTTTTTTTTTGTCTTTATATGTTTGTTTTTTGTTTGTTTGGGTTTTTTTTTGTTTTGTTTCTTGTTTGTTTGGGGTTTTTTGTTTGTTTGTTTTTTGGTTTTTGTTTTGTTTGTTTTGTTTTGTTTTGTTTTGTTTTTTTGGTAAACAATCAATACGAATTTGTTAATAACAATGCACAGCAGAATTCAGTTATACGTATTTTTTTTAGTTTTAAACATTCTCTCTCTCTCTCTCTCTCTCTCTCTCTCTCTCTCTCTCTCTGGACAATATTTCTTTGGCTTTTGATCATTTATTTATATTCTTCCCATAGTTTGCATAATTTATTTTTCTTCCAAGCGTCTTGTAAAACATATCAACGAGACCCCTTCCCCAAACATAAATCTGACCACGTCTAAGATGAAATGATCGTGTAATGCTAATAGACCAAGTTATCCTTGATTAAAGGTACAGACTTGTTTTTGGATAAATTTGAAAGCAAACATTGCAATATTGATAAAAGAGTTACACATGTAAAGTTGATATAAGTAAAATAATCATGATTGATTTATGTATATTTCTTGATCAATTTTCGATGAGAAATGCAAAACGGGTGATTTTATTTCCTTTTCCTTAAAATGCATTTTAGATTTGATAATTTTTCTCGATATAATATTGTCAACTATAATGATGAATTGGGTAAATGTACATTACTTAGAGAATTCAGAAGCATTTTGGTGAGGCATTTTCAAATACTCAACATTTGATCTTCTGAACCTGAGGATCGGACTACTTTAAATATATAACTTTTGAAACATTAAACAATAAAAAAATGATATATTTATATTGTTAAAGATGACCAACTCCCGTTGAAGTTTTCCACAAAACTAGAAAAAAAAACACCATCAAATCAATAAGGCTCCATTCCGATCTTAATTCAGGCGTCCACATTACGTATAAGCCCTGCTCACACCCCTTGCCATATGCAATACTCAATACACATTCAAAAATAATTTTTGATTTCTTAATATTAATGCTGTATTTTTCACTGAAGATTTCCATGCATTAAATTTTTTTCTTTTGATATTGATTTCACGGGAAAGGAAAGCAGTTTCATTTCACTTTCATTTTTAAGATGTTGGGATGGGTAGACTTTTCACAAAACGGAGGGGGGGGGGGAAGCTATTATTTTAAACCTAGTTTACTTTCAAATTTCATATTTCATAACACCGAAAATTCTTTGGAGTTAAACATTATTAGTTGAGACACCCTCTGCATGACCGGACTCTCCTATGCAGTTCATCCTGGTGGTAAGTCGATAATGAATGCATACAATTTTAGCCTTCCTGGGTCTTTTGTAATTATATATCATGATTTTTTTTAATCTTTTGCAAATGTGTCATACAACAGAAAAACGATAGAAAGAGCTATTATGATAATAATATATAGAAATAATTTAAATGCCCCCATGAACATTACTCGTGCAAATAACTAATTAAAATTAACTATCATATTTAACATTACTTTTGAATCGGTTCATAGTCATTATGGAAGGAATAAAGAGTTCGATTATTTGACAATTCCTGGAGCTGAGATCTAGCAGAGGATCTAAGCATATTGTTTCTAAGGTGCTGTAGAGATAGACGAAGACTTAGTTCGTTTAAAATCCATTTTTCGGGTTACGTATGTTTTATTGTCTGCATGAGCTAAAGCACTAGTGTGATATGAAAATAGTAAATGATGGTTTCGAAAATACAAGTATATTAAGATAAGATAGTGTATATACATATAAAAATGGATACGACTCCATTATAACATTTTTTTTAAATTAGCGAATGGATGAAATGGTGCGCTAATTAAAAAAAAAAACTGACATCAAAATTAAATATGTTTTTGAAGCCCTAAATTGATCGAAAGATATGACTATAGGTTTTGCTTCGGTACTTGTAGCCTTAATGGTTGGCAATTTTCCTAAAACTACTTTGATGTTTTCATTTGGTCTAGAGCATAATATTTAAGGTACGTCATTCCAAAAAGAAAACACAAAAGACAATTATTCGAATAAGAAGATTAGAATTATAATTTTTTGGCCCTTTGACTTTTGGCGTGTCACCGGGTTAAACCTTTAGCATGTGTTTATCCTATTTGAGGACTCATTATTCGCACTGTATCATTTATTTTTCAAATTAAAAGTGTCTATCATGGCCCAATTTAGGCCTGTATTACTTATATTTTAACGATTAAAGGATTTCAACATTATGGTGCAAGGAGAGAAATAGCCATGAACTCAATACGCAATAATCACGGTTGATTATGTCTCCAGAAATTGAAATCACCAACGCAGAAAATAAAACTTTAAAAAAATATATTTTATTTATTCATTCCTCTTTGTTTCATGTTTTATGTCAGCTTTTGAAATTATGTTTCAAATACTTTTAACTGGAGTAATATAGTATTATACAAAATTTTTACTTACGGGTACATATCGTACATTTTATCCTCCGTGGACAAAATAAAGCCTTAAAAGATGCAAGTATGTGCGTTTTTGTCAAATTCTATGAACTATAAGGCAAATATATTCCAATTATAGATAAAATAGAACTAAATAACTGGACATATAGCTTAAAATTAAATGAATTTTATAAATTCCGTTCAATTTACCATTTTCTCAAGTAGGAATTCAAATTCTACTCGAATTAGGATTTTAAAAAAGAACATTTTTTTTAAAATTAATTATACCTTCCAATGTACAGTTTGGGTGTGGTTGAAGGGTAGAGAATTTAGTTTGTATTTTTATCCCCAAGAACCTGCTAAATCTTAAATCATATATTTTTTTTCTACAGAATACAACCCATGCAAGAATTTCGACATGATTTTAAACTCACCCCAATTTCATTTTTTTTTTTATTTGATGTGTCATTTAATCAGTTGAGAATTATTTGGTTATGGGTAGAATAGAAGTTATTCCAATAAAAGTACATGTACTTAAGTTATTGAGCAGACAACTTTTAAATAACTATGCGATATAGTATTGACGCCTTATTTGACACACCCTTATGAGCGACAGTATTCTAATGGTTGAATTTATTCCATTTAAAAACAGCTTCAATAATTTTACCCAAACTAAATCTGTCAAAATGAATTCCGATCATGTTATCCTTTTATATCATGATCCAAAACTTAATAAAGTTTTAGTTCATTTCAATGGAAGGTGTCAATCTACCTGTGAAAGACAGACGAGCATTCAACAAAGTATGATATCCTCCCGTTTCAATGGGGGGGGGGGGAGGGGTATATTTTGTCACCTTAAATTGTCATAAGCGGTGTTCTTTAAAAAATATACAGGTAAAGGATAACCAAAAGATAAAGGAAATTGTTGAAAAAGTTTACCTTAAAAAAAATAACAAAACAACACATCAAGGAGGGACGATGTGTCAAGAGCTTGTGCCCAGCCCTGTTACATTATTACATAACCATTCTAACTGTTACATGTACATTATGACATAATAATTCTCACTGTTACATAATGACACAACAGTCTTATCTGTTACGTTATGGCATATCATTACATCATGACATAACAATCCTGTTACATAATGACATAAAAATCCAAGCAACTGTTCAATATGACATAACAAACCTATTCTATTATGAAAAACAATCCTGTTACATTATTACATATCAGTCATAATAGTTACATTATGACACAATACTAAAACATATGGGCTTATATAGGCAAAGCCTGCTGCCCAATCCATTTATGTTTTATTACATAATAAAATATGTTCAAATTAAATCAAATACTGAAACATTCAAATTAATATGTCCTGATCAGTTTACTAGACTTCAATAGTTTAATATCATTTATGTCTTATAAATGATACGTGCTTAACAAATATGACATTGATTTCGAGAGGACGTTGATGATGTTTTCAAAACTTGTTTTCGTAAATCCATTTCCCTTCCCCGGCCCGCCTTGTCAAGAAACTCCGAAAAAACAAGACATGCTGAGCTCCAAATCAGAAATCATATATATGTATCGCAATTTGGCCTTTATTAAAAGCACTCAGGATTTTTACAGTTATTTGCCTTTCCATTTTAAATATTTTTGTGTTGATTTTAATGCAGTACAAGAAGTCCAACGGAGACCGTCAGCAGCAGAACCCACCATGATATTTTCACATGATCTGTAAATTTTATTTTGAAAATTAATTAGATTCAAGTCAAATCTACCATGGATATAAAATAAATAACGAAATTTTTTATCAATGCTATTAAATACCAATGTTTATTTCAGTTACAAAAAAAGAAGAAAAAAATACCAGTTCCACTTTGACAGCCCTGCATTTGTGATATGGTACATGAAGCATACGCAATTTCTTCGTCACTTCCGTCGTCGCAGTCGTTAGTACAATCGCACTTGAACGATTCATCGATACAGGTGATGCCACCACTCTTACAGGTAAACCAGCCCCTTGGGCATTTCTATAAAAAATGACAGGTACAACTTTGGGCATTTCTATAAAAAATGACAAGTACAACTTATGTGTGCCCATTTTGTCAAATGAAAAAAATTGAAAACCGTGAACAACACACTACTAAGATTGGATGCCTCAACATGGTTATATCTTTATGACAATAAACTGGTGAATAATTTTTAATATACTTACTTGCACATATTGACCCGATGAGGGCAAAGGACATAGAATAGTATTGCAGTCGTCTAGCTGTGTAGAGTCCCCTGTACAGTCGCTGCCGCCATGAGCGGGGGCGGGGTCGTCGCACTTTCTCTCACGATGTTGTTTCCCACCCCCACAGGTCTTCGAGCATGGTGCCCAGGGTCCCCAAACTCCCCACGTGCCATCCACTGTAAACATTCGCACATAACAACATTATAACCAATCCTTTTCTCAATTTAGTACAGTAACTTCGCTCTTGCGTTTTGTTTGATTTTTATGGTTTATCTCCTATCATGTCCAATTTCCTGGTACTAGTTTTAGATTTACCTGCACATGGCTGTGTGCTACACGCTTTGGATTCCGAATACACCCCAGTACAGTTTTTCCCGCCATTTTCTGGGACAGGTTGGGTACATGTCCTAGACCTCTCGGCTGTTCCAGTTCCACAGGTCTTAGAACAAGACGACCAGGTGGACCAATCAGTGAATCCTCCGTCTACAGCAGGCTTTACGCCACCTTTAATATCAACACAATTTAACAGGACTCAAATTAGATGAATTGATATTTATCTTTTACCAAAAATCTATAACTTTTTTGATAAAATAAGAATTAATGAAATGAAAGATGAATTAAAATGAAATTTTTCATAATTATCTCCTTGTTTTTCTTAAGTCTAATAAAATCAATAAATATTTGAAAAAAAATACTGATTTTTAATATCTCTGTATTCTTTGTTGTTGTTGTTGTTTTGTATCTTTGTGCTTTTACATTTAGCACTTTATAGGAAATTAACTGTTTTCAATGAAAACAAATTCTTGAAAATAATGCAGTGAAATTAGACTTTTTAATATTACTTGTACAAATTGATCCTGTGCACGGTTCCTTTTCTATGCCGTTTCCGGAACACTCTGTAGTAACGCAGTCACGTGTTCGCTGTCTGATATATACATTGTTTTCTAGGACCACCTTCCAAGATGTCCATAGCTGCCACACACCATAAACTGTAAGAAATGTCATACATGCAAGTAAGTGTCAGATCGACGCAAGTAATCCAAATCTAACCAAAGTAATCCAAATTAATGTCAAATATATGTAAGTAATCCAAAGCAATGACAAATCTACCTAAATAAACGTCGACCCGTCACACCCGCCGTGTGCTCATTGTCATGATCGGGAAACGGAAAAACCCGTAGACAATTCAGTGTTTAAATAATGGCTTAACAATTAGTATGAACAACATCAGTCAGCATTCGGGTTAATAATAGCTTATATTTGCTGACAAGGTCATTATATCAACCATATAATTTGCAAAATGATGAATTTAAACGAGACTGTTGATATCCTTGGTACATCAACATCTTTGTTAATAGCTTGCCTCGTTTTATAAATTGTTTGTACTTGGAGCATGCTCTTGCGTAAAACAATAATTAAATAAAAATAGTTTGGCTTGTAAAAACATTATTATTTTTAAGCTCTTTAGAACTTTTTGACCGACATTCTATAATTTCAAAAAATAAAAAAAAAATCAATTAAATAGTCTCCCATTAACAAGTGCATGAAACTTACCGTCGTTACAGTAAGCTCCCTTGCAACAGAAGGTACAAGATACTGCGTCACACCATGGTGTACATGCGCCTTTAGCTTTACAACCCTTTGACATGCGCTTTGTTGCCCGTTCAACTGTAGTTCCGCAAGTCTACAATAAAAAAATATTTCTTTTATTGAGTTGTATTCAGGTGAATCGTATTTGGATAAAAATAAATTTTCCGTTCCATATACTTACTCAAATATGAATATTTGCCTTAGTGAAACGAAATCACTGTTTGAGTAAATGAGATATAACCATTACTGTAAAATGGAATTAAAAGTTAATAATAAATTCCTTAAACTAAATAGGCCTTACATCTTGATCTTGGGAACAAGTCTGGAAACCTTGTTTGTTGCATTCCTCGTTTGAATTTGCATTGTTACAGGCTTGACATCTAAACTCTGTAAATATAGCCACAAAAGATAAGCTTCTGTCAAATAAAACGTCAATGGTGCAGTAGGTAGAGCGTTATTCAAGAGTTCATCAATTCGCGAGATTGAATTCACTGCAGAACTTGATGATGGTCCTTCGGTTGATTTCGGAAACATCGAAGTCTCTTGTTGCAGTATATTGCTTGAACGTATAATATCCCTCACTACATAATGGTCATTAGTGCTTAAATTAAAGTGCTCAAGGGCTGAAATAGACTTAAATTTGCAGCCATCCACCGGCACTTGTTGGCACTCGGGGGCCTCCAACCTGAGTAAAATATTCTCGAAGGGACATAAAACAAACAAGCAACCAACCAAACAACAATCATAACGATGCTAACCCAGGTTGCTGATTGTTATAAAATTAGAGTATTTTCTTCGAGAATGTATTCCACAGAATACATTCGGTATCAAACTTGTTTGACAATGAGTAGACAATTTCCAGTTATATCTTACGTGAACAAATGGGTCCCTGACACTTTACAGTCTCTTCAGTCTCTCCAGAACATTCGATAGAAGTACAGGTGCGTTTTCGGGTCATCATGCTTCCTTTAGTGCCAGTCACGGACCATGAGCCCCACATTCCCCATGAACCAAAATCTGCATAAAAGTAATTATAATGAAGATGGTCACTGATACTATCAACTCCTCATAAATACTTTTTTATTTGAAAAATTACCATGATTTGAATTTCAACCATACTGGAAATAAACTACGCACTTTCATTGCACTGAGAGCCTGAACAACAGAATGTACAGGTCTGGCTTCCCGCTGTACAGGATGGTGTACATGAAGTTGGCGCAGCACATCCTTTTGTAATTAGACCAGTTCCTCGAACAACTTTGGTTTGGCATGTCTGAGAATATTTTAAGACATTTAATCAATAATGGCTCTCTGCCCTTTTGTCTGTTTTACTTATGCACTTTTGTAAGCGATTCTAAATACTATAATTGTACAATGGTATACATTTTTTTATAACCACGTTTTGAATTCTCTGGTACTTATCTCTTTTGTACTTTGTACTAATATTATATTATTTATTCCTGACGTGTGTAATTTTATCCCAGAATTACTAACTTGTTGATTAGCAGGGCATGTGACAAAGTTTCCAAAGTTACATTCCGCGTCAGACCTGGCGTTTGTACAGCTTCTACACTGGAAATTTTGTACTCCTATAAACAAAAAACTCTTCATTTAAAAAATCAATGTTAGTGAGAGATGTTTAAGGATTAGTTGTAAATGATATAATGATGATTTGACGGTGATATTTCAGACATATTTAGAAGGAAACGCGGAAAACTGTGTAAACATTTTTTTGAGTGGTCAACGTGAACAGATGTGTGTGAATTAAAATTCGATCTTCACAATATGTTTTTCTGTACAAGTAAAGTAAAAGACTTCTTAATACATATGACATTTTACTGCTAAAGTACAAAACGTATCCATTTTCTGATATTTGAAATATTATTCAGAAAATGTATCTGTTTTCGATTTAAAGACATACAAGATATGAAATTTGAAAAATTTATATATTTATATATGTGAGAGTTTTTTCCCCATTAAATAGCGAATTCATTAAAACCTGATTTCTGTTATGTACCTGAACATGCTGTACCAGTGCAGGTTTGCTCCTCTACACTATCACCTGAACACTCTATAGTATTACAGGACCGAGTTCTGATCTTCTTTCCATTCTTTAGTGCCCATGCACTCCAAGGAGCCCATTCACCATAAACTGTAAAAGTTTATAAAAAATGAAATTAATTGGAATTTAATTAATACTCTTATTGCTTACTCATTATTTACCTTCGCAGCTGTCATTTATTAGAATATTTTATTAAAATGAAATTATTTTAAGAATGTAATTAAGGTTGACCTTATCGCACGACAGCAATGTGTAGCCAAATTGTCTAGAACTTACCGAAAAATATAAATACAACGTCTTAAAGTAATTTATATTAACGACAAATGTGGTTTGAATATTTAGTAATTAAACGAAATTTATTCATGAATATACAATTTTCGTATATATTAATAAATAGTAATATTAGATAAGTAAAAATGGCAGACCTTCGTTGCAGTTATCTCCTTGACAACAGAAAGTGCAGACGGCTGAGTTGCCGTGACAGAGGGTTCTACATGCAGATGTTGGCGTACATTTCTTAGTCAGTGCTTTGGTCCGACGATCAATCTTTGTCTCGCAGGACTGAAAAAGTCAAATGTACTATATCGGGTAACAACTGGTTTATGGAGTTATATATACTTTTTCTATTTATTAATCTCTCCTAAAAGAAGGCCTCTTTCAATAAATTTTATATGGCGTGAAAAATAAATATAAATTTAATTTCAAACTTTTAAGGAACGACATTCATTGTTCTTCTTGCCGAAAACCAAAGTATTGCGTTGCGTTAGTTTGAGTTTGACTAGAAATGTTGCCCTGGACGAATGTACAAACTAGCAATCATATAAGAAAACAACAATCAACTATTTTAATCACAGGAATAAATATCAAAATTAAAACCAAAGATTCCAAAAAGAACCCAAAAGTAGAAATCCATCGTACATATAAATTTACCAAGTTAAATTTCACCCTTTTTTCATTAATCAAACATGTCTCACTCTGAATTTATGAACAATAATATTCTTTTTTCAAAAACCTTTACAAAAATTAAAATTTGCTCACCTGATAGGCTGAACAAATTTCTTTATTTTGTCTGTTACACTCTGCATTATTTTTGGCACTTGTACACTTCTGGCATTCTGATGCTATTGAAAAGTAAATTGTAGCTTATAAAAACAAATGTTGTAGCTACATTCACAAATTAAACGAATACTGAAATTGTGATTAAAATTAAATTTGAAGATTTTTTCGCTGTATCTTACATTGCACACAGGAGGCGGTGTTGCAGCCCTTTTCCTCCGTGGATGGTCCTTCACAAGGCAATTTCGATGAGGAACACTTCCTAGTTCTGCTTTGTTTACCACCACCACATCGCTTACTGCAAGCAGACCACACACTCCAGAGGCTATACGTTCCATATGCTGCACAAAAATCCAAACTGATGCAGTAAAACTTGCTAATGTCGAATTTGGATAAAAGATTTCCTTGGTTATAAGGAAGTTGTAATTTCCCCCATCCCTCGTATCATAATTTTTTTTCCATATGAATATAAGGGTTTTGTTTTAAAGCATAGGCGTCGGAACCGGGACTGGGGGATTGGGGGGGCTTGAGGGGATTAGCCCCCTCTCCCCCCTCACTTAGACATTAATATAGGCAGTGAAAATTGAGGCCTAACCCCTACCCCCATTTTTTTTGTTGATTAAGCCCCCCCCCCCCCCACTTTCAATTTTCTTCTGACGCCTATGTAAGGAACTAAAAATCCACGATCCCAGAATTTTCTCATATGGTAAATTTACGAAGACTATTCTTCTCTGAGGAATTATTAACGTGTATTTAATAATTTTTACCTTCATCTTTGTTGCACAGTGATCCCTTACAACAGGTAACACAATAACTATCTTTGGGATCACACTTTGGTTTGCAGTCCTTTTCCTTTCTACACCGTTTTGTTATTTCCGCTTTGTTCTTTTCCACGCGAGTTTCGCAAGTCTAAAATTATAGATAAACAAATTAAAGATATGTCTTTGATATTTCTTTTCGCTTATATAAAAATGTGTCAGGTTTCTTGACTTTCTTTTTCTTCTGAATAAAAAAAAATCAAAAACGATGTGATAACAAAAGGATATAATCAGTTACTATGATATTCTTTGAATCAAACATTATTTAATTCAAAGCAAACACCGATTGTGCATTTCCCTCAGGAGGTGAAAATTCATATATAAAGTCATTCAAAAATTCTGAATTCCCTGTCACAGTATACCATGTCAAGGGCATAGGGCATTATAGTAGCATATATATTTGCTTACTATTTCTCATTAATTCTTGCGTTACAATATATTCTTACATCTTCATCCTTTTTGCATGTTTCTACTTTTGTACACTCGCTGTTCTTCTTTGCTTTGTTGCAGACGTTGCATTGTTGTTTGTAGCCTATAGAATACACAAGAATGAATTGCTAAATATAACATAAGGATCAGTTCCAAGAATCTATATTTTTTTTATTATCATTTTATTATTATTATTTATTAATTTATTTATTTATTTATTCTTTTTTCCGACAAATTAAACATTTTGTATTTTATATTTCGTGTTGTGATACCATATACAATTAATATCAAGTTCATGAAACATAAAAATGTTTTAGAAAGTGTAAAATGTCTTTCTTGACATATGGTAAAATTGTTTAAAAAAGATGATACATACAAGGTAGAATATGCAATTGAACTATTAATTATTCTTTACTTTTTCTGTTTAAAAGCCAAATACAATCGATCACAAAACTAAATAAACTCTCCCTATAGCATTATGAACACCTACCAGAACACAGGGCGGGTGTGCAGGGTTTGGTCTCGGTGGTGTCACCAGAGCATTCTTGCGTCGTGCAGTCTCGTTTGCGCTCCAATATTTTGCCACCTTTGGTTTTCTTTTCTTTCCACGACGACCACTGTCCATATTTACCAAATTCTACAAAACATTAACAATTTTGAAACATTATTAATAAAGAGTAAATACATCAAATGGTGTGTATTCTTTGAAATGTATTTTTTGAAACGTCTGTCATTAGAATTATTTGAAGGTATACCAAATTTTTTTCTGCACCGTGGATATATGCCCTTTATAACAACTACTAGATGACCTCATTAAGTACGGATCTTTTGATGATATCTCTATCTCTATTACAGGCAATAGATAAACATTCGGAAATGGTGGATTATAAGTTGCGTACCTCGATTACAATCAGTTCATAAACATCGGAAATTGTGGCTCATTGGGTACGTACCTCGATTACAACCAGTTCAGGAACTTCGATTATAACCAGTAAGATGAAAAAATTGTGGTCATTAGTTTACAAGTTCGATTATAGCAAATTAAAGAACATTTCACGGTGTGGATCACCATAAAAATACAACATACAGGCATCCAAGTTGCAGCCAGAAAATAAACACCAAAAAGGTTTTGATTACAAGCACCTTTATTACAGCCAGTGGGAGAATGACGGAAGGTGTTATTAATAGAAACATACCTTTATTACAACTATCAGATGAACAAGAGAAGATGTAGATCATTAATACATACCTCTGTTACAGCCAGTAGGTAAGCAACAAAAGGTGTTGATCATTAATCATGGCCGTAGGAACCGGGGGCACAGGGGTGCCCCCTCCTAATAATTTTGCCGATATATAGAATACTATAGAAAACATAGCTACTTTATGCTTGTGCCCGCTCAATAATAACGTCTGATGACCTTTTTTTTTGCTTGTCAAGAAATTTTGATCATTGATAGTGCCCCCCAACTGAAAATGTATTGTTGTGCCCCCTCAAAGTGAAATTGCTTCCTACGGGCCTGTTAATTCATACCGTTTTTTACAACCAGTAGATGAACAACAAAAGGCGTTGTTCATCAATACATATCTTTATTAAAGCCAGTAAATGAACAACTGAAGGTGTTCATCTTTAATACATACCGGTATCATAATTACAGCCAGTTTATGAACAAGAAACGGTTTTGATCATTAGTACACACCTTTATTACATCCAGTAGATGAACAACAGAACGTGCATGCGTTCTTGTTGCAGCCAGGTTTGCAGACGGCCGTGCATGCTTTCATTACATTCTTTGTCTTTCTGTCAACTCTTGTACCACAAATCTACAAGATAAAGATTATTTTTAATGCGTGTCTTGTACAAAAATATTCATGTTAATTGACGTGTTAACACCAACTGTAAAATCACTTAATTGTATGGGTTTAAGTTGTCGTGGCGCTAGTGTAAACTGTTGATTTATGATGATTTTCAATTTGTGGTTGAGGATAGGAACAGTACTCGTCTTCGAATTTTAACATTTAGTACATGAATGAATTCATGGGTCTTTTCATACCACGAAAACGACGAAAATCATACTTTATATAAGCTTTTTCTTTTTTTACAATAATTGAGCAGAGAGTGTTCCTCTCTTACCTGTTTTCCATTTGGACAAGCCTGAATTCCCTTCATATTACATGCTTCGCTTGATTTTTCGTGACTGCATATGTAACAGCCAAACTCTACAAATCAACACATTTTGTAAATGGTTTTGCTTAAAAATCAATAATAGAGAATATAAAGAAGCCTACGTTTTCTATTTACGATTTTCCTCGTGAAAATTTGGAATTCAAAAACTGAACCTCAACAAAACGAATGGACCTACTTGACGAATTTGGGGGAATGGTTGCAGGAAGAACCACATTAGAACACGGTTGTGTGTTACATTTCTTTGAGTCTTCCTGATCACCAGAACACGGCAAGGAGGTAGTAGAACACGCCCTCTTCCTCCTCTGAACGCCACCCCCGCACTGCTTATTGCATGAAGTCCACGGGCCCCAGGTGCTCCATTCGGCATAACCTGTATTTACAGAAAAAAATTTGCCATGCTTATCTTGAATACGGTATGCTGGAAGAATAAATAGAGAAGTTTTGAAGGGAGCGATGTATACATATGTACCTATTGAAAGTACAATTTATATTTTTACTGCAAACTAAATTCCGGAGAATTAAATTAAATATGCGTCATAGTCTTCACTAAATTGTTATAGTCACAATTTTAGAATTGCCATTTGTATGCAATGAGTGGTAGTTATTCTTCGGAAAAAAGTGCCACGATGTTCACTTGACTCATCAATGGTTCAATGATTTATGTTGATAAAATGGTGGCTAGAGAATAGGTCTACATTTTTAGTACTATATTGCCATCATTACAAATTAATATATCTTCCTACTGTTCTTGAGAAGATTTTAAAATTTCTTTTATTCATATGCATCTAAAGCTTTGATCCCCTACCTTAACCTCGGGGCGTTATTATTGTTGTAGAAAGGAATATTTTTGAAAAGATTGTTAACTACTGTACATGTATGTGTACTTAAAAAAGCGGGCTTCATATTTGAGCTAATTCATGAATACTGCTAAGAAACCATTTACAAATATAATATACGACCTGGACATAATGTATAGCTAATTCATGATTTAACCAACATCTTCATAACCAGTGAATACGCCAATATATGTACACGTACATATACACATGTATATAATTCAGTGTTGAACTTTAATCCCCTATTGTGGCTCCATCCTTGCCCTATTAAAAAAACTGAAAAAATGGTTTTTCACTATTTCTAGATTATCCCCCATACTTTAGAAAGAGGATGTGCTCCTTCATTTGCATAGGCGTCGGAAGAAAGTGTGGGGGGGGGGGGGGCTAAACCAACAAAAAAGGTAAGCACCAATTTTCAATGCTTATATTATGCCTATCTTTGCAAAAAAAGTGGGGGGGGGGGGGGGCTAAGCCCCCCTAGCCCCCCTCCCCCCGGGGTTCAAAATATTAAATTTCTATCACGAAAGGATATTTAGTGCTTTTGATGATTGAAATTAGCCCGGTGCGAATTTAATGTGCGCCTGTGTTGGTTATCGACACATAAATATTCATAAACTTTACTTTTCTTATATTTAACAGGTGATAATGAAATTCTGTGATGGAATAGTTACGTGCACGTGTTGTGACGTCTCTTCAATATTCAGCCTTAACATACCACTGTCTTTGTTGCACAGTGATCCTGTACAACAGGTTACACAAGAATCGTCTTTGGGGTCACATTTCGATTTACAATCTCTTGTTTTCTTGCATTTCTTTGATATTTCATTTCTGTTCCGATATACTTTGGTTTCACATGACTGCAACATTTTAGCAAAGAATTCATTAATTAAATACTTGAATTTCGTTCCTTCACAATTTTGAAAATTCAATATTCCAGGGGGTAAAACCAGAATTATATGAGACAATTTTTTTTACAATTTTAATTGTAGATATACTCCGTAACCATTGATAAATAACTAAAATCTTCATCTTTGGTTTCTTTAGTACTTGCGATATATAACTTTAGTTCCAACATTACACACAGAACCTTCCTCGCTGATTTTTTTAAAACTCTTAAAAAAAAAAGTTTCCCTACCTCTTCATCCTTTTTGCATGTTTCAACTTTTAAACACTCTTTGTTACTTTTTGCTTTGCTGCACACATGACATCGATGGGCTGAGGCTAAATAAGAATAGAAATAAATATGAGCTGTTTGGATTAATTCAAGTATTTGGGTTTTTATACATACTATAAAATTTATTTTATTTATTTCATTATTAAATTCTTACTTAATGATATCAATGAAATACTACATGCATAAGTGTAGTTTGTTAAAAGATGAAACATTTTTAAAGATTAAACAAATTAATTACAAACTAACTCATTTAAAGGACAGAAAGTTCCGATCTAATAACATACAGGTGTCAATTTGTTTTTGTTTTTTTTTATTTTTATAACCTTCTTGTAACTGTAACATGTAAAGATAACTTTTTCTTTAATTCCTTACACACAGATAAAATGAATGTCACACTTACTTGTACATAGTGCGGGTGAACAGGGTTTAGTTTCTTCACTCTTCCCAGAGCACATCTCGCTTGAGCATTTCCGCCTCCGGACCAACACGTCAATGTTCTTAATGGTTTCCTGTTTCCATGGCGACCATTGTCCATAAGACCCATATTCTGTATTAAGTATTTATATGATAGTGTAGTTCAAATTTATTTATGATTACAAGTATTTATTAAAAGACATTTCATCAGTGATCGGTAACATTTAAACAACATATAGAGAAATGGAAATTTTAAGTCGGACAAAAACCTTGAATAGAGTAGAACACACCAGAAGATGACGAACTGTGATTAAATTCATAGATTTCGTAAGCGATACGAAACTTGAGTAGAGTAAATCAATTGGTAGTAAATGTAGTATAATTAAAATTTTTCTAATAAGACACCTACCATTGTTACAGCCGGGGGTATTACAGCAGTATGTACAAGCTCGCCCGTCACAGACTGGTTTACATACATTTGTACAAGCCTTTATTATCTTTTTCGTCCTTTTGTCTATTCTCGTGAAGCATGTCTGTTACACATGAAAAATTCAAAACATATCAAATATCATGTACGAATAACCGAATTCTGACAAAGTTGAACTTTTTTTTTCACGTTCCTTAACACGGATATATTTGACATAAAAGTATATACTAATTTTAATCAAATGAAATATATGGAAATAACGAACAGTATTCAAGCTCAAAAGTTCATTAAACAATACAAATAGGAGCAGAGCAAACACGGGCCTCCAAAACATCAGAGGTGGGATCAGGTGCCATGGAGGAAAAAAATAGAATCAAGAACTTTTTGCTTGTCAGAAGATAACAATCGACATAAACAAACAGGTTGCAGTATGTTATATTTTCAAACAAATAAAAGCTCTCGAAGAATACTCTTGTTTGGTATGTCCCCGTCAATAGTTCTTTAGAGATTGAAAGAGATTGAAAGAATCTATATGTGTATTTCTATGTATCTCGTACAGTACATGTAGTTTTTTTGCCTGACGCCACGTGCGTCAGGCAGTATTAGGATTAACTTTTTCAAGATCCGAAACTAAGCAATCATTCTTAATGAACTAGATTTTGTGCAAGCTGATTTACAACGGAATTTGTTACCTGCATTTAAAGAAAAACAGTTTACAGAAGAGAGAATCATATTACTGATGCAAATTAAATGATGTGTTTAATTCCTTCAGTTTTTTGCATGCACATGCTTATTCTTTGCAATGCATTCTTTGTATAGACATGCCCGGCGTGTAACATTTTTTCTGCGTTTCTAAACTACTGGATCAGTCCATTTGCCTTCTACGAAAGGGGTGTCACAATCATTTTGCGCCAAATGTCACATGTAAATTATCTTCGCGCCTTTTTCTTGGATTGTTCTATTGAATGGGTGTGATAACTTCTATGGAAATAAATAAAGTTTATTCTTTTAACCTGATTCTTAAGCTTCGGATTTTTTATTAACAGTAAATTTTATCTCATTTTTTAAAAGAACACATTGTATATGGGCAGGTAACACTAAAGCAATGGATTTGATGATTATTCTTACTATTTATCCCATAAGTGAACTAGTCCAATCATAAGCAAACTCCCTCGACCTAGTAAATGGGACATCCCTTCTTGATTCAGACTGTTTTCCATCTTTTCTTTCAATATTACATTTATTAATTAAGTACGTTACAAGGTTAGGCTTTTAAAAAAGCTTAGAAAGTCTGCCAGTAGCATATTACAGTGACAACAGTGTAGGTCAGTACCCGTAGAGGAATGGGCTTCACTCCCATAAGGTTCTAAGTAAAGAATCGGCAAAATGAAGAAGACATCATATAATCTATACTGGTTTTCATTTCATAAAAAAGCACGTTATTATAATTATGAGAAAGGTCCTGAAATCGATTTAAAAGAAAAACTGAACAATTTTAAAACTGTACAAAAGGATGTATTTTAAACTCATTTATAATACATGTACATGTATATGGTAAGACCATCATTGCGTGAGTTTTGTCCGGAGAGGGGGGAGGGGTGTTATTAGTATCTTGTTTTGCTCTAGCTATAAACTGTACAGGCCATTTACTTTGAGTTCTAGAGCAGCATTGAAGCATTTTTGTCTCAAACACTTCAAGACAACTTTCCCAGTTAAAAGTGTTCATAATTTACTTCGTCGTCGAGAACGACGGAAAAGAGACCAGTCTATAAATAGAGGCAGTCTCATCAATCTATCACTGACGAGAGTGTGCATGACGAAGGGCGTCCTCTGGTAAGAGAGTACATGTAATATAAATTTCTTTAAAACAAATCATCTAACTATTTTCCCCAGAATTATAATCTACGCTAGGGCACTTGCAGTTTCATCCCAACGGAACTAGTCAGCTCGTGGGCTAACTAGTAAATGACCAAATAGTGGCATGTCTTAGATATTTATTAATCTGTAGTATTTGTTTAAGACATCTGAGAAAGTCAATTCAGGCCAGTGGGAATTTCACTTTGAGGGGGCACAACAATACATTTTCAGTTGGGGGGGGGGGCACTATGAACTACCAAAATTCCTTGACAAGCAAAAAAAAGTCATCAGACATTATTATTATTGTGGGGGCACAAGCATATAGCAGCTATGTTTTCTATTGTATTCTATATATCGGCAAAATTATTTGGGGGGGGGGGGGCACGGCTCTCCCGTGCCCCCTCCCCCGGTTCCTACGGCGATGCAATTGTACATCAAGATTGTGTAATGAAGTATCGCAACTATGTCGCTCCTTGATGAAACGTTTAGCACCTCTCTTGCTTATACGTTCCATAGATAACGATTGATTAGTCGGGCAAGCTTTTTGAAAAGCTATTACTTGTTTTTAATTAAAGCAACTTTTCGGGCCCATAACAGAGAGAAACTATGTCGCTAATTCTTTTGTAAAGTCTGTCTTTCGTTGAGTTTCAAAAATATATGTATCTTGCGATATTCTTATACAGTTTTATTTCTTTTATAAGTTAAACGTCGAAAACAATTAGAAATAACTAAACACAAAATGCTTCATTTACGAAATGAAATTTATGGATGAGATTTGCCTCATAAATTATATGAATAGGAGAATATGAATTTTTATTCTTGCTATCTAATTAAAAAATTATATGTTTAGAGAATAAAAATAATATCAGTAAATATGTTTATCTTTTATTTTGGTTTATATTTCAATTCTGATCATAACGCGGTATTTGATTGGATTAAGAATTTACTACGTCACAATGACTAGGTATCGATCCACCTGACGTTACGTTCAAATTTTGTAAAATTTAAAGTCTTTTTTTTTTAAAGCGCAATCATCGTTTTGTCTTACACTAAATGAATGAAAATTAAATTATAAGGAATGAATTTAATACCTACCGAATTTATACGGTATAAACTGGGTTGGAACAGTTTACTTTTTTTATAAACCGCAAAGGGAAAACTGCCCCAATTAAATTCATTACTAAAAGAAATTTACATTTTTCCATATTGTAATAAAAATTTGAACCTAGATTCTTGTATTTTCAGCTATATTAGACATATTTTGGTTAACTGTACTTATATTTCCTCCTCCTCACTGTTCATTCATTTGGTCTTCATTATATATAAATACATTTTATCCTTAATGTACACACATTTATTCCTCATTGTACGTACATTTTAATCTTACTGTACATACATCTCGCCCCTCAGTGTACTTACATTTCGTTCTTACCGAACATTAATTTCGTTCTTAACGAAAATTCATTTTTTTTTCTTAGTGTGCATATATTTCGCCCTAACTTAACTTACATTTCGTCCTCATTGTACATATATTTTGTGCCCACTTTTTATATTTTACTTACATTTTGCCCAGAACGACATTTCCTCACTCCTCCGTTTTTATTGCACTCCTCATTAGATTTTGCATTACTACACGTAAAACATTCAGATCCTGTAATTTATGAAGCAATTTTTATTTCACAAAATTATTTTTCTTTAGCACTTAATGTTTGATATATTTTTTTAAAAATATAATAAAATCTTACAAGTTTTCCTTTTCAAGAACATCTTGCAGATACTCTATACTATTGGTTTTAAAAAATGTATTCACAAATATTTCTTTCTGCAAAAAATGTTTGTTATAAGGGTTTCGTTTTCTGTTCTTTTATTTACATACAACAGTACAAGTTCATTTCATTTTTATCATTTGTTGATCATGTGTTCAGAAGATCAAATTGATTTAAAATACAATAAAAATCAAGTAAGGCGTCAGCTTTGAAAATCATACCATAGGTAATTGCACTTATCGCCATGTGCGATAAATACCATGCATCAAAGAATAGTCTATGTACAATAACTTTGCTGTCCTTAACAAACCCGCAGGTGTGAACTGCACGTGCGTGTCGTGTTAACTCACCTAAGCTTATATTTTTAAAAAAATCTCACTTATATACAGAACAAGAAATCTCTTAGTATTGGGATATTAAAAAAGTTCGTTATAACATAAAAAAATTTACTTACTTTTACAAAGGGTTGGCGTACATGCTTTAGTTTCAACAAGATTTCCCGAGCATTCGCCAGAAGTACAGCTTCGCTTTCGTTTCAGTCGATCAACATTATTTATTGTATCAATTTCCCAGTTTGACCATGGACTATATGTTCCATATTCTACAATGTAAGTATACCGTAAATGTTATTTAACAACGATCATTTTATTTTAATATCACTGGGTATTCAGTAAAATTTAATATGATACCTAAATCCTATTTTAGCAATATTTACATGACTTACTAAAACAAAATCGGAAAAAAATCAAAGATTTTTTTAACTACGATAAGATCATTGTAGAAATAGACGATCAAAAATACTCTACTATGGTGACCTTGCATCTTTTTGTCCAAAAGAAAATGATATTAAAAATTTGTGTTCTTAATTCGGTCAATCCATTAGATATTTCATTTTCACAGAAAAGTAAATCATCTTCGCAATTCGTGCTCACTACATGCGGATATGCTTTAAGATGAAGTTGATAAATCTATGGTACGACCTCACTTCAACTTCGATCAATATACATTCAATGAAGTTGATAAATCCATGGATCAGCCTTATAAAAGGACTGCTTGTATATAATAGAATTAAAAATACATTTGGTGACAAAAACCCAATTAAGAACTATTCAAAAACGTTTGATATAACAAAAAAATATCATTTCATTTATATAAAATAAATTTGTGAAGCAGAATGTGATAAAACAGAATTATAATAGCATACCCTCGTTACAATTAGGTGTATTGCAACAGAAAGTACACGTCCTTGAGTCACATTTTGGTTTACACATAGATGCACATGTCTTCATAACTTTCTTTGTCCGTCTGTCTAACCTTGTTCCACAAATCTTTATTAAAAAAAAAGATACTGGTCAATTAATACTTCAACATCACCAAAAGAAGTAAAGAAAAACAAACCATTGGGAGTCTTTTTTTTTTCTTTCATCAACATATAAGACGCCATACATTTAACCAACGAAATCTATCTTTCATACATTCTTATATCTTACATTTTGACCTTTCTTGCACGTCTCAGCTCCTCTTTGTTTGTTACATTCCTTGTTCGAACTTGAGAAACTGCAGGAAAAGCATTTCATTGCTACAAATAAGAATTAAACCAATTATATATATCGTCTTTGTCATCAATTAATAAATATTACTTCTAAAAAAAATTAAATATTTTCATTTCAACGTACGTGTTGATACGCAAGGTTGTTTATTGCAATCTTGCTCCTCTTTGGTATCGCCAGAACATGGAAGATTGCCTGTAGAGGAACATTGTCTGCTTCTGCTGCGCTTGCCTCCTCCACATTGTTTGCTACATGACGACCATTGTCCCCAAGCTTTGAACTGTGCATATCCTACGAAACACAAATACACATTTTAAAAACCTTTCTCAATTTCAGCAATAAACGCCTTTAAAATCTTTGTTTATTTACCGTGGTCTTTGTTACACAGATCCCCGGTGCAACACATGGTGCATTCCTTGTCTTTTGCATCACATTTAGGCTTGCAATCCTTGGTCTTTTCGCATTTCTTGCGAATTTCGCCTTTATCTCTGCGTATCTTTGTTTCACAAGTCTGCAAGATCAAATATTCAAAAGCTCATTTCAAACATCTGCTCATCAACCAACTTCTTTTATTCTTTTAACTGGACTGAATTTTTCTCCCAGTTGGATGGATAACAAAAGGAAGGAGACCTCGAAGATTCTTAATATTTAATTGCTAAGAACGAACATGTATTAAAACGTACATCAATTCAAGCAAAAAACGGTTTAGCAAATGGTTTTTGAAACGAATCTTTGGTAACAGCATGGATCTGCCCAACCCTACGCACATCTTTCCACTTTCAAAGTATTTGCTAGTTTTACCTCCTCATCCTTCTTGCAAGTTTCTATCTTTGTACAGTCACTATTTTTCTTTCCATGTGAGCACGTGTAACATCTCTGTACACCTGAAAATATAAGACATTAAGGATGTTTAAGTCCTGTCTATTGCATTAGAAAATATCAGTTCATTCTTTTTCCTCTCAATACCTTTCAAACTTGGAATTTTATTGGGGAACCCCATAGAACATAGCTGCCTATAGCTGCATATCTAAATAACCTATTTTATATTCGTATAAAACGAGTTTCATTGTAAAATCAATCAGATTGTTTTCAAGTATGCGTTTCCTCCAAAATTGTTTACTCGCCAAAAAGACAAGCATTTCAATTTATCTCGTGGAAAGGTGATAATGATATAGCGAACTTATGTACGCATAAAAATTAAAGTCTTACCCTTAATTCTTTCAGAACTCGAAAGTTAATTCTAATGAGACAAAGACCTCTGCTTTCAAAAATAAGAAAAAACGAATTAACACATTTTCAACACTACCTTTCGGAGGACATGAGTGCTTGTTGCAATCTTGCTCCTCTTTGGTATCACTAGAACATGGAAGATTGCCTGTAGAAGAACACTGTCTGCTTCTGCTGCGCTTGCCTCCTCCACATTGTTTGCTACATGACGACCATTGTCCCCAAGCTTTGAACTCAGCATATCCTAATTAACAAAATCACACTTCTTATAACACATAATTCTTCCAAGACTTTTCACAATTTCTTCCGTAAACACGAATTATATTTAAATTTCTTTTGTTATTTTACGTTAATTTTCTTCCTACCATGATCTTTGTTACACAGATCCCCGGTGCAACACATGGTGCATTCCTTGTCTTTCGCATCACATTTAGGCTTGCAATCCTTGGTCTTTTCACATTTCTTGCGAATTTCATCTTTATCTCTGCGTATCTTTGTTTCACAAGTCTACAAATTCAAACATTCCAAAACTTATTAAAAACATCTGCTTATCAACCAACTTCTTTCATTCTCTTGCATGCACTTAATTTTCTCAGTTTTGAGTTTAAAAGGAAAACTTCGAAGAACATGAATATATCCAATCTATGGACATCTCTCCACTTTCAAAGTATTTGCTAGTTTTACCTCCTCATCCTTCTTGCAAGTTTCTATCTTTGTACAGTCACTATTTTTCTTTCCGTGTGAGCACGTGTAACATCTCTGTAAAGCTGGAAATACAAAACACATTCATTGTCAGTTTATTCTATTTCAGTAAAAGATATCACTTTATATTCTTTCATGTCAGCTTGCACAAAACCAGAAGGAAAATGCACGAAGAGTACATATTTTTTCAAAATCTGTTTTGAAGTTCTTATTTTATTTGCCTGTAAAAATAATAAACCTAGAAACCAAATTCTTTCATCTACTTATCGCAACCCACCTAAAAGAAATATTCAAAGTGGCTGGCCTACACTAAAACCACTGATGTAACAATCAGATGATATTTTCATTCCTACCTGGTTTAGAATTACAGGTAGTTGATGTCCATTCACATCTTTTAGATTTGTCATCCCAGACAGTTGATCCTGGGCATTTGAAATTATGCAATTTGGAGTTGGAGCATTTGATGAAACCATTACACGTGCTACAGGATTGGTAGTCTCCATTCTTCTTTCCTTTACAATCGCTCACGCAAACTACATTGAAAGGTTTCAGAATCAACATGGTAGTAACAAGTTTGATCTACAGACTTACCTTAAAAAGACGCATTAAATACAACATCAATTACGACTTACACTTCTTTTAAGGGTTTCAAAAATACATGAAGTAGTAGTACCTAGTTTTAAGTAGAAGCTATGTACTATATTAAAATAAATTCAAAATTTTTTGATGTTATCATGAATCAAACAAAAAAAAAAAACTCCACAAAACGGCACAATTCTTATGGGAAATAATTCTATCTTAGAAGTGTTGGAAATAGATCATATAACAATGTAACAATGTTGAATGACCTTAAAAAACATTTCCCCATCCCAAGGATATCTCCGTTTTCATCTAATCAGCCAACTTTTTTTCCCATTTTAAAGCAGCAAAGATGACAATGAAGTGAATATGTAAAAGCAAAACTTTTAGTTGGTCTATCACATTGTTGCTCCAGACAATTATATTTCAAATATTTATTAACTGGTCATATCAGAAATATGGGAGATAAGCAGTGTCATTCCCAATCAGCACCCTTTTCGTTATGATATAAAAGTAGCAAATATATCCGGTCAAATACAATTTTTTAGCCAAAGTTCTTCAGATTACAAGATGAAACAGAAAAGACAGTTCTTTGAACACTACCATTTGTTTGACATGAATGCTTGTTGCAATCTTGCTCCTCTTTTGTATCACCAGAACATGGAAGATTGCCTGTAGAGGAACATTGTCGGCTTCTGCTGCGCTTGCCTCCTCCACATTGTTTGCTACATGACGACCATTGTCCCCAAGCCTTGAACTCTGCATATCCTACAATACACTTCTTCTTACTATACAAATCTTTAAAATCGTTCTCAATTTCTGACGTGAACACCTTTTAATCCTTTCTGAATTATTTTGTAAAAAAAAAATTTATCTACCGTGGTCTTTGTTACACAGATCCCCGGTGCAACACATGGTGCATTCCTTGTCTTTTGCATCACATTTAGGCTTGCAATCCTTGGTCTTTTCGCATTTCTTGCGAATTTCGCCTTTATCTCTGCGTATCTTTGTTTCACAAGTCTGCAAGATCAAACATTCAAAAGCTTAAGCTCATTTCAAACATCTGCTCATCAACCAACTTCTTTTATTCTTTTAACTGGACTGAATTTTTCTCCCAGTTGGATGGATAACAAAAGGAAGGAGACCTCGTAGATTCTTAATATTTAATTGCTAAGAACGAACATGTATTAAAACGTACATCAATTCAAGCAAAAAACGGTTTAGCAAATGGTTTTTGAAACGAATCTTTGGTAACAGCATGGATCTGCCCAACCCTACGCACATCTTTCCACTTTCAAAGTATTTGCTAGTTTTACCTCCTCATCCTTCTTGCAAGTTTCTATCTTTGTACAGTCACTATTTTTCTTTCCATGTGAGCACGTGTAACATCTCTGTACACCTGAAAATATAAGACATTAAGGATGTTTAAGTCCTGTCTATTGCATTAGAAAATATCAGTTCATTCTTTTTCCTCTCAATACCTTTCAAACTTGGAATTTTATTGGGGAACCCCATAGAACATAGCTGCCTATAGCTGCATATCTAAATCACCTATTTTATATTCGTATAAAACGAGTTTCATTGTAAAATCAATCAGATTGTTTTCAAGTATGCGTTTCCTCCAAAATTGTTTACTCGCCAAAAAGACAAGCATTTCAATTTATCTCGTGGAAAGGTGATAATGATATAGCGAACTTATGTACGCATAAAAATTAAAGTCTTACCCTTAATTCTTTCAGAACTCGAAAGTTAATTCTAATGAGACAAAGACCTCTGCTTTCAAAAATAAGAAAAAACGAATTAACACATTTTCAACACTACCTTTCGGAGGACATGAGTGCTTGTTGCAATCTTGCTCCTCTTTGGTATCACCAGAACATGGAAGATTGCCTGTAGAAGAACACTGTCTGCTTCTGCTGCGCTTGCCTCCTCCACATTGTTTGCTACATGACGACCATTGTCCCCAAGCTTTGAACTCAGCATATCCTAATTAACAAAATCACACTTCTTATAACACATAATTCTTCCAAGACTTTTCACAATTTCTTCCGTAAACACGAATTATATTTAAATTTCTTTTGTTATTTTACGTTAATTTTCTTCCTACCATGATCTTTGTTACACAGATCCCCGGTGCAACACATGGTGCATTCCTTGTCTTTCGCATCACATTTAGGCTTGCAATCCTTGGTCTTTTCACATTTCTTGCGAATTTCATCTTTATCTCTGCGTATCTTTGTTTCACAAGTCTACAAATTCAAACATTCCAAAACTTATTAAAAACATCTGCTTATCAACCAACTTCTTTCATTCTCTTGCATGCACTTAATTTTCTCAGTTTTGAGTTTAAAAGGAAAACTTCGAAGAACATGAATATATCCAATCTATGGACATCTCTCCACTTTCAAAGTATTTGCTAGTTTTACCTCCTCATCCTTCTTGCAAGTTTCTATCTTTGTACAGTCACTATTTTTCTTTCCGTGTGAGCACGTGTAACATCTCTGTAAAGCTGGAAATACAAAACACATTCATTGTCAGTTTATTCTATTTCAGTAAAAGATATCACTTTATATTCTTTCATGTCAGCTTGCACAAAACCAGAAGGAAAATGCACGAAGAGTACATATTTTTTCAAAATCTGTTTTGAAGTTCTTATTTTATTTGCCTGTAAAAATAATAAACCTAGAAACCAAATTCTTTCATCTACTTATCGCAACCCACCTAAAAGAAATATTCAAAGTGGCTGGCCTACACTAAAACCACTGATGTAACAATCAGATGATATTTTCATTCCTACCTGGTTTAGAATTACAGGTAGTTGATGTCCATTCACATCTTTTAGATTTGTCATCCCAGACAGTTGATCCTGGGCATTTGAAATTATGCAATTTGGAGTTGGAGCATTTGATGAAACCATTACACGTGCTACAGGATTGGTAGTCTCCATTCTTCTTTCCTTTACAATCGCTCACGCAAACTACATTGAAAGGTTTCAGAATCAACATGGTAGTAACAAGTTTGATCTACAGACTTACCTTAAAAAGACGCATTAAATACAACATCAATTACGACTTACACTTCTTTTAAGGGTTTCAAAAATACATGAAGTAGTAGTACCTAGTTTTAAGTAGAAGCTATGTACTATATTAAAATAAATTCAAAATTTTTTGTTGTTATCATGAATCAAACAAAAAAAAAAACTCCACAAAACGGCACAATTCTTATGGGAAATAATTCTATCTTAGAAGTGTTGGAAATAGATCATATAACAATGTAACAATGTTGAATGACCTTAAAAAACATTTCCCCATCCCAAGGATATCTCCGTTTTCATCTAATCAGCCAACTTTTTTTCCCATTTTAAAGCAGCAAAGATGACAATGAAGTGAATATGTAAAAGCAAAACTTTTAGTTGGTCTATCACATTGTTGCTCCAGACAATTATATTTCAAATATTTATTAACTGGTCATATCAGAAATATGGGAGATAAGCAGTGTCATTCCCAATCAGCACCCTTTTCGTTATGATATAAAAGTAGCAAATATATCCGGTCAAATACAATTTTTTAGCCAAAGTTCTTCAGATTACAAGATGAAACAGAAAAGACAGTTCTTTGAACACTACCATTTGTTTGACATGAATGCTTGTTGCAATCTTGCTCCTCTTTTGTATCACCAGAACATGGAAGATTGCCTGTAGAGGAACATTGTCGGCTTCTGCTGCGCTTGCCTCCTCCACATTGTTTGCTACATGACGACCATTGTCCCCAAGCCTTGAACTCTGCATATCCTACAATACACTTCTTCTTACTATACAAATCTTTAAAATCGTTCTCAATTTCTGACGTGAACACCTTTTAATCCTTTCTGAATTATTTTGTAAAAAAAAAAATTATCTACCGTGGTCTTTGTTACACAGATCCCCGGTGCAACACATGGTGCATTCCTTGTCTTTTGCATCACATTTAGGCTTGCAATCCTTGGTCTTTTCGCATTTCTTGCGAATTTCGCCTTTATCTCTGCGTATCTTTGTTTCACAAGTCTGCAAGATCAAACATTCAAAAGCTTAAGCTCATTTCAAACATCTGCTCATCAACCAACTTCTTTTATTCTTTTAACTGGACTGAATTTTTCTCCCAGTTGGATGGATAACAAAAGGAAGGAGACCTCGTAGATTCTTAATATTTAATTGCTAAGAACGAACATGTATTAAAACGTACATCAATTCAAGCAAAAAACGGTTTAGCAAATGGTTTTTGAAACGAATCTTTGGTAACAGCATGGATCTGCCCAACCCTACGCACATCTTTCCACTTTCAAAGTATTTGCTAGTTTTACCTCCTCATCCTTCTTGCAAGTTTCTATCTTTGTACAGTCACTATTTTTCTTTCCATGTGAGCACGTGTAACATCTCTGTACACCTGAAAATATAAGACATTAAGGATGTTTAAGTCCTGTCTATTGCATTAGAAAATATCAGTTCATTCTTTTTCCTCTCAATACCTTTCAAACTTGGAATTTTATTGGGGAACCCCATAGAACATAGCTGCCTATAGCTGCATATCTAAATCACCTATTTTATATTCGTATAAAACGAGTTTCATTGTAAAATCAATCAGATTGTTTTCAAGTATGCGTTTCCTCCAAAATTGTTTACTCGCCAAAAAGACAAGCATTTCAATTTATCTCGTGGAAAGGTGATAATGATATAGCGAACTTATGTACGCATAAAAATTAAAGTCTTACCCTTAATTCTTTCAGAACTCGAAAGTTAATTCTAATGAGACAAAGACCTCTGCTTTCAAAAATAAGAAAAAACGAATTAACACATTTTCAACACTACCTTTCGGAGGACATGAGTGCTTGTTGCAATCTTGCTCCTCTTTGGTATCACCAGAACATGGAAGATTGCCTGTAGAAGAACACTGTCTGCTTCTGCTGCGCTTGCCTCCTCCACATTGTTTGCTACATGACGACCATTGTCCCCAAGCTTTGAACTCAGCATATCCTAATTAACAAAATCACACTTCTTATAACACATAATTCTTCCAAGACTTTTCACAATTTCTTCCGTAAACACGAATTATATTTAAATTTCTTTTGTTATTTTACGTTAATTTTCTTCCTACCATGATCTTTGTTACACAGATCCCCGGTGCAACACATGGTGCATTCCTTGTCTTTCGCATCACATTTAGGCTTGCAATCCTTGGTCTTTTCACATTTCTTGCGAATTTCATCTTTATCTCTGCGTATCTTTGTTTCACAAGTCTACAAATTCAAACATTCCAAAACTTATTAAAAACATCTGCTTATCAACCAACTTCTTTCATTCTCTTGCATGCACTTAATTTTCTCAGTTTTGAGTTTAAAAGGAAAACATCGAAGAACATGAATATATCCAATCTATGGACATCTCTCCACTTTCAAAGTATTTGCTAGTTTTACCTCCTCATCCTTCTTGCAAGTTTCTATCTTTGTACAGTCACTATTTTTCTTTCCGTGTGAGCACGTGTAACATCTCTGTAAAGCTGGAAATACAAAACACATTCATTGTCAGTTTATTCTATTTCAGTAAAAGATATCACTTTATATTCTTTCATGTCAGCTTGCACAAAACCAGAAGGAAAATGCACGAAGAGTACATATTTTTTCAAAATCTGTTTTGAAGTTCTTATTTTATTTGCCTGTAAAAATAATAAACCTAGAAACCAAATTCTTTCATCCACTTATCGCAACCCACCTAAAAGAAATATTCAAAGTGGCTGGCCTACACTAAAACCACTGATGTAACAATCAGATGATATTTTCATTCCTACCTGGTTTAGAATTACAGGTAGTTGATGTCCATTCACATCTTTTAGATTTGTCATCCCAGACAGTTGATCCTGGGCATTTGAAATTATGCAATTTGGAGTTGGAGCATTTGATGAAACCATTACACGTGCTACAGGATTGGTAGTCTCCATTCTTCTTTCCTTTACAATCGCTCACGCAAACTACATTGAAAGGTTTCAGAATCAACATGGTAGTAACAAGTTTGATCTACAGACTTACCTTAAAAAGACGCATTAAATACAACATCAATTACGACTTACACTTCTTTTAAGGGTTTCAAAAATACATGAAGTAGTAGTACCTAGTAGTACTTAGTTTTAAGTAGAAGCTATGTACTATATTAAAATAAATTAATTCAAAATTTTTTGACGTTATCATGCATCAAACAAACAAAAAACTCCACAAAACGGCACAATTCTTATGGGAAATAATTCTACTTAGAAGTGTTGGAAATAGATCATATAACAATGTAACAATGTTGAATGACCTTATAAAACATTTCCCCATCCCAAGGATATCTCCGTTTTCATCTAATCAGTCAACTTTTTTTCCCATTTTAAAGCAGCAAAGATGACAATGAAGTGAATATGTAAAAGCAAAACTTTTAGTTGGTCGATCACATTGTTGCTCCAGACAATTATATTTCAAATATTTATTAACTGGTCATATCAGAAATATGGGAGATAAGCAGTGTCATTCCCAATCAGCACCCTTTTCGTTATGATATAAAAGTAGCAAATATATCCGGTCAAATACAATTTTTTAGCCAAAGCTCTTCAGATTACAAGATGAAACAGAAAAGACAGTTCTTTGAACACTACCATTTGTTTGACATGAATGCTTGTTGCAATCTTGCTCCTCTTTTGTATCACCAGAACATGGAAGATTGCCTGTAGAGGAACATTGTCGGCTTCTGCTGCGCTTGCCTCCTCCACATTGTTTGCTACATGACGACCATTGTCCCCAAGCCTTGAACTCTGCATATCCTACAATACACAATTAGAACTTCATTGCTTCTTACTATACAAATCTTTAAAATCGTTCTCAATTTCTGACGTGAACACCTTTTAATCCTTTCTGAATTATTTTGTAAAAAAAAAAATTATCTACCGTGGTCTTTGTTACACAGATCCCCGGTGCAACACATGGTGCATTCCTTGTCTTTTGCATCACATTTAGGCTTGCAATCCTTGGTCTTTTCGCATTTCTTGCGAATTTCGCCTTTATCTCTGCGTATCTTTGTTTCACAAGTCTGCAAGATCAAACATTCAAAAGCTTAAGCTCATTTCAAACATCTGCTCATCAACCAACTTCTTTTATTCTTTTAACTGGACTGAATTTTTCTCCCAGTTGGATGGATAACAAAAGGAAGGAGACCTCGTAGATTCTTAATATTTAATTGC